CACCCGGACGCGCCGGCGGCCGAGGCAGGAGGGCAGGGGCGAGTTCAAAGGCCGGTGGCCCGCTCCCGCCCACTTCTCCGCGCCGCCCGAGCGGGACCTGGCCGACACGCGGAGTCGCCTCTCCCGCGGCGAGACCCGACGCGAGGGGAGGCCGGCGAGGACCGGCTGGCTTGGGGGCAGCCCCGGCGCTCTGGCCGCGGCCGCCGCCGACTCCCTAGCCCGCCCTCCCGCGGACTCCCGAGAACTTTTCGCGGGGTCTGAACTCCGCGGGGGGTGCAGCCAGGTTCTCCGAGGCTTGCCAAACAGGGAGGCCCTACCCCGGGAAACCGGCCCTGGCCTGGCCTGGCCTGCAGGATCGCCAGCCCAAAGTGCGGGAGCCCCTGTGACGCCCACGTGCCCCCAGAGGGAGCAGGAACCGCTGGCTTTTCCCTAATGGCCGTCGGGATTGAGTCTGAGTGCAGAGCGAGGCCAAAGTCATCTGATCCCGCCAGCAGGAAACTGAACAAAGACATTTAAATATTAGTGTGTGTGTGTGTGTGTGTGTGTGTGTGTGTGTGTGTGTGTGTGTGAGATGCAGTTCTCTCTCTCTCTCTCTCTCTCTCTCTCACACACACACACACACATACCTCCCCTGCGCCGAGTCTGCTAAGGTGTTTCAAACTTCGGGTTGAGACCAGATTTAGTGGGTTGGGACCAAAATTATTATAAAATAAAATAAAAAGAAGAAAAGAGAATAGAAACTTATGGGAGAAAAAGTGCTGTCTTATGAGTTCTTTGTTTAATGTATATTCAAAGTATACTTTTCAAAAAGTTAAAGTCATGACTCATGCCAATATATAACAAATACAAGATCAATGATTATTCAACCCTCGAATGAAGGAACCAGCAGGACAGTAAAGCTGGTTCTAAGAGCATTACAGGTAGCCAGAGGGGAAAGGGGCATATTGTTTGCAAATAATTAGACTGACAGCAGAGTGGCTAGGTGTCCATTTCTTTTTATTTATCCTAAGTTAAAACAAAAGATTGAATCTGTGTCTAAATGTCTTTCATCAGTTTTGGGAGTTTCTCAGCCACTATCTGTCCAAATATTTCTTCTCCCCAATTTTTCTCCTCTCCTTATAGGACTTCAAACTGCCATGCATATGTTAGTTCCTCTCACTGTATCCTTCCTGTCTCTTACCCTGTCTTCTGTGTTTTCCCTCCTTTTGTCTTGTCCAGTTTGTTAATTCTCTATTTAGTTGGGTCTAAATAGTTATATCTGTTGAATTCCTAATTTCTCTTCTTATATTTTTCAGTTTTCAATTTTGAATCGATTTTTCAAATCTATTACCTTACTGTAGTTCTTAGTTTTATACCAAAGTTCCCAATTTTATCTTTTGTTCCCCTTCAGTTTGGTAAGCATCGTTGTTTTAAGGATTATGACCAATAACTCCAATCTCTGGAATCCATGTGGGATAATTTCTATCATCTGTTGTTTCTAGTGAGTTTTGTTCATGTTGTCATATTTCTTCCTGAGCCTGTTTACTTTTGACTGTGTGCCCCCAAAAATGTATTCATTAAGTTTCTGGCAGAACTAATTTGAGATTAAGGATAATCTCATTTTTCTCAGGGAGGATTTGCTTTTGTTTCTGACAGTTGCCTGAAGACACTAGCAATCCAAGATCACCTTAATGTAATTTCAGGAGTGAGATGCTCTGAAGCTGAGCTGTAGTCCTTTAGAAGGGTAGTCTATTTCCAGTCTTCAGTCATTTGGGGCTCCAACCTAAAGTTTAGATGTAAGAGATCATGGACTATAGCTTTTCTTCCCCCACCCGGTAAGGCTAACCCACTCAGTTTCTCAGCTTCCTCTTCTGAAAATGGGAAATACTAATACCACTAACAGAAAAATGATCCCAAATGCCTAGCTTACCTCTCTTTTTGTCTTTTTCTGGTTCGTGCCTGGTAATTTTTCATTACTTTGTTCTCTGATGCTGGTGCCTTTAAGTAAATGCATTTTCTATTTCTTAATTGGTTTTTCAAGTTATCCTTAGAAAAAAGGCTTTATTCCAGAAACAACAGAAGAGGAAATCCAATTTCTTCTTTTATCTTTATAAATTCTTTCCCTGCCCCCGTGTTCATTTTCTTGATATTTTCTGTTTTTTAACCTTTTTTTAAATGACTGTCTTATGAAGTCCCCTTATTTTCTTGATATTTTCTATTTTTTAACCTTTTTAAAAAATGGCTGTCTTATGAAGTGTTCTTATTTCCTAATAAATACATATACTGCTATACATTTTCACCTGATACTATTTTGGCCACATCCAACAAGATTCAATACATTATGCTTCTCATCGTTTTTTCCAGTTTATAACTTCCACTTTGATTTCCTTTTTAATCTAGAGTCATGTAGAAAAATGTTTTTATTTACATGTAAGTAGTTGGAGTTTTTATTAAGGGGCCATTCTTTTGTTATTGATTTATAATATTATTACATTGTGGTGAGAGTGTATATTTTCTGCTTTCTAGAATAGTTGAAATGTTTTCATAGTCTAGTACTTGTTTATTTTTCTGAATGTTCCATGTGTATTTTTGAAAAATACATAGTCTCTTTATTAATTCATTAATTTTGTTTTTCGATCTTCTATAGCTTTTTTTAAATTTTAGTATACTTGATTTGTTAACTTTTGAGAGAGGTACATTCAAGTATTCCCAAAGTATTATGGATTTGTTAATTTTTCACATTTGCTTGTATTTCTAACAACTTTTGATATATTTTGAAGGTGTATTGTTAGGTACATAAAGGTTCATGACTATTATATATTCTTGATGGGTAGCATCTTTTATGCATTTGAAATATTTAAGTGTCTTAGATTTAGTTTATTTTAATATTTTACTCCTATTTTATTTTTCACACATTTATTTGATATGTCTTTGCTCATCCCCCCATTTTCAATCATTCTAAGTTATTTTTGGTTTTAAAGAATCTCTCATAATACCATGTAGCTGGATTATTTTTTACCCAATAAGAGACTCTTTAAATAGCAAAGATTGTTTTTATAATTTGAATAACACTTTAAAAATAAATGAATAAAATAAAATAAAAAGAAAGCATAACCAATAGTCCATAGAAGAGGAATTACAAATGGCTCTTAAACATATACAAACATGTTCAACTTTATTTATAATAAGACAAATGCAAATCAAAACTACATTTTAAGAAAGCATTTTCACCTATAAGATTGGCAAAGATCAAAAGCTCGACATTATGTAGTGGAAAGCAAAGAGAAACAAGCTCAATCATGGATAAGGGAGTGCACATTGTTACAAAGATTTCAAACTTTTAGATACACCGACCTTTTGAATCAGCAATTGTACTCCTAGGGATTTACTGTACATATTTGCAAAATTACAATATAGAAAGATATTTATTGTAATGTCACTTATACAGATGAAGAAAGTATTGGAAACAATATAAATGTTCATCAGTAGGAGACTAATGAAATAAATTATGGTTAACCCATGCATCGGAACCATTTGCAGCATTAAAAAAGAATAATACAGCCTCATATATACTGATGTATAACATTTTCCAAGACATAGATAAATAAAAACATTAAAGATGCAAAAGAGTGTTGTGTAGACTACCAGATAATTATGACAATGCTTGCATATGCACAGAATATTTCTGGAAGGATATACAAGAAACTTGTAATAATAGCTGCCTCTGTGACAAAGTGATCAGGAACATAGCCTCACAGCATGCTCTTTTGGACTGCTTGAATTTTGTAATCTATCCATGTAATCACTGTTGTTTTAAGCGGTTTATTCAAGAGTCATGTTGTGAGGACATTTTCTTTTGATCTTTCTGAACACTTGGTTTCCAAAAGTGATGTCTAGCTGTTCATTAACTTGATACTTTGCATCCTCACCAGAGCCAAGAACATTCCCAATAATAATGTAATAATGTACTAAAGCAGTAACAGTGTATTAAGCAGTAATAATGTATTAAAACAATGTAATCCTTACATACATATAGCACTTTACTTTTTCTCTTATTCTGTCTTTCTCTTCATTTGGTGGGGGAGAGAGGATGATATCTAGAAAGAAGTATACAGGGGAAATGCAGAATTGGAGCTATCCATGAATTAAACAAATCATGTGCATATAAATTGGTCTGAGATGTCAGAGTAACAGAAGTAGGTAAAAGCTGTTCTAATTATTTCTTTTAACTAATTCGTACATTTTTGTGATTTTGAAAATTAAATTATACAAAGGGCTGGATGTAGTGGCTTATGCCTGTAATCCCAGTACTTTGGGAGGCCTAGGTAGAATGACTGTTTGAAGCTAGGAGTTCAGGATCAACCTAGGCAACATAGCAAGACCCCTCTCTTAAAAAATACACACACACACACACACACACACACACACACACACACACACCCCAAAACTTTCCAAACCTTCTGAAAACAGAAAATATATGGTTTGCATTGCCTTTTTAAAAATTATACAGAAAGACATCCTCAAAGTTAAATATCACCCATAACCCCACTACTTACAAAATGTATATATAGTAACCAAACGAAAGAGTCTTGATTTCCCACTTACATTCCCTCAAGATGAAGCATTGTTCACAGCTTACTGCTTATTCTTCTACATGTTGCTCTTTATTTATGTAAACTTTTGTTTATCTATAGGTTAAAAAATTATGTTGACACTCTAATGTGAATATCTAACTAAAGAGTATAAAGGCTGATGGTTTTTAAAAACATGCTTATTAACCATTTCTGTTTCTTGTATGAATTTCTTAGTCATATCCTTTGCTCATTTTTCAACTGGATTGTCTTTTATCTTTCCCACCCCCCCCCCCCCCCCCCCCAAAATCTCAGGTCAAACACAGACTTATTGTCTAGGAATCTGAATTTTTTTGTTATTATTTTATTTTATTTTTTGTAGAGACAGGGTCTTGCTATGTTGCCCAAGTTGGTCTCAAACTCCTGGCCTTAAGCTATCCTCCCACCTCAGTCTCCTAAAACTACATAGCACTAAACGAACATTCTGGAGTAAAATGGAAAATCAAATCTCCTACTCAGGTGTGCCATTGAGCTTGCCTTTTTTATCGTATGTGTTTTGCTGGGGATTTTTGGGAGGTGGAGATTCATCTTTGTTATATGTATTAGAAGTATTTTCTATGATAGCTTTCCCCCATCTCTTGATTGCATTTAGGATATCTTTAATTTTTGTGTGGTCCAATCTGGTAATTTTTTTCTTTTATGGCTTCTGGGTTTCATATCTTGCTTGGGACTATTCCAAGATTATAAGAGGGGGGGAAATCCTATATTTTATTTATGATTGAAAGTTTCGCTTTTTTTTTTTTTTTTGAGTTGGAGTCTCACTCTGTCGCCCAGGCTGGTGTACCATGGCACACTCACCGCCACCCTAGCATCCACCTTCCAAGCCTTCTGCCTCAGCCTTCCAAGTAGCCAGGACTACAGGCGCGTGCTACCACTCCCGGCTAATTTTTTGATTACCCTTGGGCTCAGGCAATTCACTCACCTCAGCCTCCCAAAGTGCCAAACCACCAAGCCCGGCCAAAAATTTCATTTTTTACATGCTATTTTTAAAATTAGTTTGCAATTCAGTCCATCTGGAATTTTGTTGTTGCTTTGGTGTAATGTAGTATCTTCTCTAATTCCAAACAAGACCTAATTATTCCACCATTATTTATTAAATAATAGTTCAGGAATTTATTGGATGAATGTCCCGTCTCTCACCTTGGGAAACGTGTTCTTTAAATTGCACAACTTAGTAGGAGATTTGATCTTCCATTTTACTCCAGAATGTTCGTTTGGTGCTGTGTAGCTGGCTCTGGGTCATCCTCTGATGCTGCAGTGACCATGTGGAGCTCAGCATCTCAGTCCTCCTGAGGCCACCTCCATCTTTACTGGAAGCCAGGAGGAAATGGATTTAGGGATACATGCTGCTGTATAATAAAGATTTGTCTGGTTTTTGTCCTTAGTTCCTGAGATGAAGGTTAGAAGCCACTGGAATTTCCTGATAGGAGTGTCTTTATTACACATGGTGGGCCCCTAGATAGTTTCAGAATGAGGACTGGTCATGCCAGAAATACCAATCACATGATTATAGGGTTGGGACTTTAAGCCAGGTGATGCCAGCACGACCTCTGGGAAGGGGAGAGGGCTGGAGATTGGGTTCAAACATGTGGACAATGATTCTATCAACCATGTCTACATAATGAAAATGAAATCCCAATAAAACCTTTGCACACAGAAGCTTGGTAGAGCTTTCTGGTCAGTGAACACATGCATGTGCTGGTAGTGTGTTGTAGCCTGACTCCACAGGAAGAGGACATGGAAGTTCTACATTCAGGACTCTTGTAGCCTTCACCCAATGGCTCTCTTCATTTGGCTTGTCCTAATTTGTAACCTTTATACTAAACGTATAATTTTAACTACAGTATAGAGCTTTTCTGAATTCTATGAGTCATGCTAGTATTGTCAAATCTGGATGGTTTTTGGGAACTCTAAAATTGATAGCCAACTGGTTGAATATGAGTGATCTGGGGACCCCCAGACTTGCAGCTGGCATCTTAAGTGAAAGCAATCTTGTCGGGGACTGTTCCCTTAACCTGTGGAGTCTGCACTAATTTTAGGTAGTGTCAGAAGTGTGCCTTTCCTTCCCTTTCCTTATGGCTGAGTGTAATTTTGATGGATTGCATTGTGCTTAATGGATGTTGCATGTTGCCATTAACAGAGACATCCTTGTTTCTGTTCTTTCTCTAACCGCGCCCCCCCCCCCTCCCGCCGCTGCCTCTGACATCCTTCACGGGTTCCTGGGAGCATCTGGTGACCTTTAAGAGAATCTCAAGCCTACCCACCTAGATAGCTCAGATGCCCTCAAAGTGAGCAAGAGAGAACCTATGAGGTTTACTTTCCAAGAAGCAGGTATAGATCTTTCTGTTCTCAGATTCTCAAAATCACTGGGGAAAAGGAAGTAAAAGACATAGGTCCCTATCTCAGGGACACACATCAGAATAGAAGAAGAAGAGAAGGAATAGAAGAAGAAGGAGAAGGAAGATCTAACATTTGAGGGTCTACTATGTGTCAGGCATGTTCTGAGCACTTTCCTAACATTGAATCATTTGATTCCTGCACCACCTCCAAGAGTTAACATCCTAATATTTTAGAATAGAAAGCAGAGGGACAGAGATTAAAAATAAATTGTAGGCTCCCTCCCCAAATAATCTGCCTAAGTCATACAGCTAGTAGGGTCAGAGCCAGAAACCAGGAACTAGGAGTCCCAATGATTATGAATACTCTATGCTGACTTTCTTTCATTGCCTTCCCACCCACTACCTAAGGCATCTCTTTAATGCTTTTTTTTTTGACTTCTGAACTTTTTATTGGCCTCTTGCTTCCCGGAAGGGTACCCTGCTCCTGCTACCTCAACGCCTCTTGACTTTGGTGTCATTGGTCTCAGACACCAGTTTGCTGTCCACTATCCTGTGGGTGGTAGTCTTTTGGATGAGCTGAATGGAGCTGCTGCTGCCCAGGGTATCACTGAGACTGAAGTCCTCCCTGGTGGTGATATCAGCCTCCAACTTGACCTTGATGTTCAGCAGGGCCTTGTACTCCTAGGCCTGGCGCTGGCCCTCTGCCCAAGTCTGTGCCAGTGCAGACTCCAGGTGCAGCAGGGTGCCATTGAGCTGCTCCATCTGCACAGCATGGGGGGCCTCCACCTCCCTCAGGCTGTTCTCCAAGTTGGCCTTCAGGTTTTTCATGGAGTCCAGGTCTATCTCGAAGGACTGTGCTGTCTGTCTTAGCTCCACGAGCGTCATCTCGGCCGCTCTGATCTCAGCGGCCTGCGTGGTGACCACTGTTGTACTCTCCTCCATCTGCTGGGACGAGTACTTGTCCAGCTCCTCTCAGTTCCTCTGAGCCAGCTCGTCATACTGGACCTGGATGTCCGCCATGAGCTTGCTGAGGTCCTGAGATTTGGAGGCATCTACAGAGGGGACAATCTGGGCTTATAGAACTTTTACTTCATCCTCAAGGTTTTTCCTCATGAAGAGCAGCTCCTCATTGAGAGCCTCGATCTCTGTCTCCAGCTGCAGCCAGGTGACACTGGTGTCATCAATGACCTTGCGGAACTCATGGATGTCGCTCCCCATGGACTGGTGCATGGGCAGCTCTGTCTCATACTTGACTCTAAAGGCATCAGCAGCAAGAGGGACGTTGTCAATCTGCAGAAGATGCGGGCATTGTCTACAGAAGTTGCGAAGATCTGAGCCGTCAGGTCCTCAATGGTCTTGAAGTCATGCCCCAGTCTCTGAACTGGGGTCCCTTTTTCTCCAGGTATTCCCAGATTTTTCTCTCCAGCCTTAGATTCTTGGTCTCCAGGCTCCTCTCCCTCTCCAGGTAGGAGGCCAGGCGGTCATTCGCTCTTTTTTTCTCTCTTTCTTTCTCTCTCTCTCTCTCTCTTTCCTTTTTTCTTTCTTTCTTGTCTCACTTCGTCACCCAGGCTGGAGTGCAGTGGCACGCTCATGGCCACCCTAGCGTCGACCAGTTGGGCTCAGGTGATCCTTCCACCTCAGCCTTCCAAGTAGCACAGGCATGTGCCATCACGCCCGACTAATTTTTTTATTTATTGTAGAGACAGATCTCACCATGTAGCTTAGGCTGATCTCAAACCCCTGAGCTCAGGTAATCCTCTTGCCTCTGCCTTCCAAAGTGCTGGGATTACAGGCATGAGCCACTGTGCCTGGCCTATACAGCTCTTGCACGGTCTCCTTCTCGCTCTGGATGCCCCCCAAATTCCCAGCCATCCCAGCAGCCAGGTCCCCAGTTCCCGGACTGCCAGTCACCCGGGAAGCTGATGGAGCGGGACACAGAGATCCGGGAGCCAGAGTTGCCGGTGCCTGCATAGA